AAGCATATCAAATAGACTTTCATTGTAAAGGCAAAGATTTAACTAATATTGCATCGTTTCATATTTTCTATTAATCGGGAATTGGAATCCTTAATCCTAATATCATAACATTTAATAACTCCATTAATTCAATAAATGTAATCCTTTGTTATGGGCGAGGAAAAAAAAATAGCTATTTTATTTTTCAAATGTTGTGCTTTTTTTTTTTAATAGTAAAAGATGTTGTGGCTATTTTATATTTATAGCTAGTAATAATAATAATGTTGGTAATTAATTGTAACATTAATTATTTCCCAATCATATAGCTTTATTATATGTAAGATTATTGTATAGGGACATTTAGATCTTTATACACATTATTCCTTACAATCACAAATCCAACGGAATCTATATTCCCAGTAACTCATTTTCCACCAACCAAACAATGAAATCCATATTCACAATAAATACCTTTCCATGGAATTTCAATTCCATTTCCTTTCAAATATTTTCCGCGAACCAAACGAGCCCTAATGATTCAATCAACATTAGAAATAATTTAATTTCTTGCAAGTTATAATGTTATATCGTGTAATTGGATGCATTTATTACATTTATTATATAAATTTCTTATTTCAAGAGACTAAAGCTATTGATCTCATGGACATATATACATATATTCCAAATAGTAAAATCAACAATTTTAAAAAAAATAGTAACACTTGTGTAAGACCGTCTCGCAGGTCTCAATCTGTGAGACGGATCGAATTTTTTATTAATGGATCAGAACTTTGATTAATGGATTAGATCTTTGACCTCATTAATCAAAGATTTGACCCATCTCACAGATTGAAACCCGTGAAATAGTCTCACACAAATTTTTGTTAATTATTATTTGTGTTTCATGTTAACATCGGTCAATACAAGAAAATTGTACGGATTAGCTTTTGATGAAGCTGGTTAAGGCGCACCACTTCGATCTTACATCACATCTCCCTGGCCCCTCCAAGAAGGGTGCAAAATCCAACTTTCGTTCTCAATCAAAATCAATAAAATATTAAATAGTGGCGCATTTGGTATACATAACTTATTTAAAATCAACTTTATTTACATGTATAACGGTGCGTATATGTTTTCTTAGTAGTATCGACTCTATTACAATGTAGTATTTGTTTAATATTTGGATTGATCACTAGTTGAGAGGTTGTTGAAAAATAAGAAAAAAGAGGTAAAATCAATTATATAAATATTGCAACTTGAATGTTTGTAATGATTATAAAATTGACCTCGTGTAATCTTTAATAAAAGTCATAACCATCGTCTAGTCCTTATTTTTTTTCAAGAGAATCATTTTTTTTTTTTTCATTTGAACCCATATATATAATTTATATTTTTCATTTTCAAAAAAAATATATATATAATTTATATTTTTCAAGTAATGTTAATTATTACCGAGTATAACATTATTATCAATAACAAAATGAAAATATAATGTTGTTACAAGTCTTTTTACACATGAACGGCTTAACGTAAACAACTAACTTTGTCAAACATCTTCTACAAACAACTAATACAATAATTGGTTAAAACCACTAAAAGTCTACTAATCGCTAATTGTCAAATAAGGCATATGTTAAAATGACAAATTATATCATGGACAACGGTCCATCTTACATTGTAAACCTTGGTCTAAAATGACATTTACAATATGTGTCTGCAATTAACCGATTATGTGTCTATAAATAAATTGAAGGCACATAATATGTTAACTACAAACACATATGAGTAATACATTAATTGCAGACATATAATATACAATTAACATATTATATGCCTGCAGTTAACATATGATGTGTTTGCAGTTAACATATTATGTGTATTCAATTTACTTACAGGCACATAATTTATTAACTTAAGGCACATAATATGTTAAGCAAATAATTTTGTGGACCTGGGTCCAAAGATATTACATACTAAATGTTCACAATTTACCTTTTAAAAATTCACAATTTGTGATGACCTTGTATTATATTCATCATTTTTAAAATTTAGAAACACAATTTATATTCTAAAAGTTCACAATTCCAATACTAAAAATACACAATTTAGAGTCATGATTCACCTTGCAAAGTGGACCGGGGACCTTAGTTCATGGTATAACAATTGAATATGTAATGTAGACACGTTAATTTTTGAAACAAGGCCCACAACACTAAGTGAACCCTGACCCATGGTATAACAATTGAAAGAAAAGGTAAGTCTCAGTCAAGTTGTTAAGACTTCATGACTAAGAGGTCATCATTCTTCAAAGAGAGTCTAAATTTTGTATCATGATATTTGAGTAATTTGATCACCATTATTTAAATACAATTCATATTTTGTTGTGATTGATGTTTTTATTATTAAGTATATTTATTGGTACTTGACCCCCACCCCCCCCCCCCCCCCCCCACACACACACACAAAGCAAAAAAAAAGTGTGAATTATATTTATGAACATCAAACATGATATGCATTAATACACTATCATATTAACCACTTTATATTTAATTTAGATAATTATACATTATAATCCTAAACATCCATTCGGTCGTGCAAAATCACATTTTACACACATGCAATTTGGCTATGAATAAAGCTCATATTATAACTTGCAATAATTAATGAATTATTCTCTATCTGTCCTCATATATTCTACCAATATGTCCCTTTATATACCTAAAATGATGATTTTCCCCCGTTATTCAAAGCAGAGGAAAGCATATAATAGTCTGTATAATTAAAAGAAAAAACTTTAATTTGTAACAGGCTGTAACTCCTACCTTTAAAATTCGTGCAACAGGAACCATTTTCTTTTCTTTGGTTTGAGTCTCCACTAGTCCTAAATAAGTACTACTTGAACTGTCGATCTAAAAGGAATATTTGTAGCCAAATGGTTGCTTAATTTACCCTAGCACAACTACGTTACTTTTATTTTTATTTTTAATTAGTGATTAGACTATTCTCCGAATCTAACTGTATGGAAGAGAGTAATAATAACTTTAAAGTCCAATTAGAATACAACAATTCTTGGTAAGCTCTTGGATGGACCGAGTATATATTTGGAGCAATAGAGTAATAGACCAAGTGAATACAAAAAAGAAGGGTCACAATCATTAAAATAGTCGTCACTTATGTTTTTAAATAGTACTTCGAGAATAACAATTATGTTTACAATATACAAATACATTTTTAATTAATGATTTAAAAAAAAAAAAAAGGTAATCTCAGTTTCACCAGACTAATCCTAAGTCCATAGGACCCCGCCCCTAGAGCTTTTTTTTTTTTTTTTTTTGAAAGCTACTGACTCTATTACATTGTAGTATCTGTTCATCCCCTAGAGTTTAATTAAAGAATTATTGATTATACAAAATAACCGAGTCTCTAATTTAACAGATATCTACATCAAACGAAAAGTTTATTTCTAAGATCAAATAATTCTATTATTTTTCTAATCATGAGTGCTAATGAAAATTAGGCTTGAGGTAAAGATCTAAGTTCACACTACCTAGAAATAGTAATAGCGAGTATATTCATATTACTGATCCAAATACAATTGGGCATTGTAAAGACGAGAACAATGTGATGGGGTAAAGGTTCAACCATATATGTTTTGACAGATCCAGTTAGATATAGTAATAAACTAATACAAGTAGTAAGATATGATATAAGATGAAGGAAATGAAAAATGATTTAGAGTACAATGTTAGAGAGCATATCTATGCTATAATGACACCTCACAAGTGGCTCACTAAATGGTCAAGTAGTGCAACAGTTTTCCTAGACAATTATGGTGGGTTATATCAACAATATTGCTGGCATAGGTTAGTAACTTCAACTCTTATAGACCTAGTTGAGTTTTGAGGTTAAAAGATTGAGTATATTGTTTGAATGAATAATTAGGTATTTAGGTCAGTCAAACTATCTTACAATAAACATTATTATTTTTTGGTTGGGTATTACATATGTAAAGAGTCCTGCACCAAATACTTTACCACCTAAAATAAGATAGAGTATCACAAGTCACATTAAATTATACCATGTTTCTTTCATTTTTAAATGAGTTTAATGAACGGCACACAAGAATTTCTAAGCTCGAATGTGTTTTGAGTCGAAGCACAATCCAGGTATGTCTCAAAAGCAGTCAAATGCTAGAAGGCCCCTAAGGTACTTGCAAGCCCTAAAAATTCTTCCTACATGTGGGAATCCATAAAGGGAAACAAATATCTGTATGGTCTCCATACTATTATTACCTTGTTAACATAGTTACGGTGAACAACTGTTTTAGCACGTAAAAAATGCATAATATTTTTTAACTAAAATATAATACTTTTTTATGAACTCAAAAAAATAAAAAAATAAAAATTACTCACATAAGATTTACTCTTTATTTTTTTAAAATCCATTTCACATAAAAATTACTCTTTATTTTTTAATCCTTCCTTAGATAATGTGTCACATGATAAGTAAACATTAAAAAATAACATTTTGGTCTGACTGAAGCACCGGTTAAGATGAAGCGTACATTTTTGTTTTTTAACATTTTACCTGTGATTCCAATTCTACTTTTCTACTCATTTTCATTGCTAGTGCATAAAAGGCTGTTGCGCTTGGTTGTGATTAAAAGGTAAGGTTGTTGCGCAGCCAGCAAATTGACGTACCATAAAGAAAAGCAGCCATGAAAGTTAGAAGCAAGCAGACGATGAAAAGTAGGGCAAAAAGAATGGTAGCCTTTGAAGTGGATGGGCAAGCATGGCCCTTGGTTTTCGCTGCTAGTCGCGAGATGTCGCTGCTCGCTTGCTTGCTAAGGAGAATCTTAAATAAACTATCAAAGTTGAACAGCCCACTACAAGAAGAATAACGTGTTAAAAGAGATGGAAAACAAATAAATGATTAGTACCAAAGTAAAATTCTAATCAGTTGCTCTAATCAGAATCTTAAAAAGTGCATGTGTGTCTGTGTGTGCATGAAGGGCCAAGTTGTACTGTTAGTTCTGTAAATAACTTTTGATTCAAGTCAAATTGTTGAAACAGTGATTCTTATTTTGCTTGCCATTTCCAAGTGCTCTCATTTTTGCACTTGTATAAGGGAAGCATTTATATTCACTCAATCACACAAAAACAGGAAATCAATATGCTAAAAAATTAAATGATGCAAGTTCTTGGATACACTCAACTCAGCCAAAACGCTTCTTGAATAAATGGTGTCTCTTGGCTGGATCTTTTGGTTTGCTCTTTTGCATCACCCTCTTTCCATTACTGCATCAAGTAATAGCAAGTGTCATATCGTTTCAAAGTAAATATATACTTATAAGAATTATCTAGGCGACTTGTTGCAACCCCATATTTCAATTTTCTCACTTTCCATAACAGTTGCATAGATAGATTTTAAAGATTGTAATTGTAATATAAACAAGAAATCAGAGCCATGGGAAGTTTAAAACTCTTGAAGAAAATATCACATATGCAATGTACTTGGCCCAATATAATTCGAGAGAAATTGAAAATCATTATGGGTGAAAAAGAAGCCATACTGGTATTCCATATAAACCATCCCGTGTGCTCCTGACATTGCGCTCATAGATCCCATGGTGCGACGGGCTCTCTGAAGGGCTATATCATCTGTATCTTCTTCCAGTTGCTCCAAACCAACAGCATCGTCACCAGCACTTAGTACCTATTGAAAGGGAAACATATATAACAACTTAGGTGAGACAATCATGTCCAAACGCATGTAGGAAGAAGAAAAGATACATAAGAGAATGCATAATAAGTACTTTTCCAAGAAGCGAAAGTTGGTCATCAAGACGATGGTAATTCAATTCAGGTCCTGAATCAGAAGGTGGCAAGCTTGTGATGACCTGCATCAAGTGAAAACCCATCACCCACTATTGCATTATGATCTCATAGAACACTGTTAAAACAAGTGGGTGGCATTACAAAGGGAACAGTCCATTGCATCTTCAAGAAATGCATACTAAACATCAGTTGCAAGGTAAAATTATTACCTTGAAGCTATAACCTTGATCAATCAAGAATTGTTGTCTTTTAGTTGAGTAATACATCTCCTGAATTATGACAAGGCAACTTAGATCATAACAATAGATTCTGATTTCAAAAAACAATGCTCAGTACATAAAGATATCAAAAATGAAAAGGAAAGTTGCAGGGAAGAAGTTCCACACATGAGTATCTGTTGATACAAGAGAGTAAAAGAAAGCATTATACTCCTCTTTACCTCCCGCCATCCTGTCTTGAAGACGTCCCTGTCAATCCAGTAATGATATTAACATTAGAACCTCATCATATAGCACACACATTACACTAATTAAAGCAGTCTGCTGGTGAAGATCATCTTATTTGAAAGGAATTACAGAGAACACCAATCTATTAACTCTGAACTAGAAATCTAACAGCAGATTTTTAACTCTCACCACCACATGTAACATCCATACAGAAAAGAAATTGTTTATAGGCAAACAAAAAAGCTACATTGTTTTCTAGCAACGAGATGATCTTTTAAACCAATGACATATTAATAATAAGAAAAGAAATCATGATCATGAAATACATGAGAACTGTTAGACATTATATGGTAGGAGTATATTTAGCATGACATTAGGGATTTTTGTACATATTCTTAGGGATTTAATTATGATCCTTACCTTAGTTAGTTTGTATATTCTTGTACAAATAGGTGTATTCTTTTGATTGAAAGATATGAGAAATAGTATGGAGTTCTCCATTTAACATGGTATCAAGAGCTCCAGGTCTGTAAGGAAAAAAAAAAAAAAAAACAGGAATTTTTTTCCCTTTCTCTTTCTTCTTCTGCGCTCCATTTGGGGTCAATAAACGAGCAAGTGCTCCATTTGAGTTAGTTCATTCTGATGTTTGGGGTCCATATCGTGTTATGTCTAAATCTGGGTTTCAATACTTTATTATTTTTGTTAATGACTACTCTCGCATGACTTAATTATATTTCATGAGAAGTAGTTCTGAATTGTTTTCTTATTTTCGTGCTTTTTGTGCTGAAATATAAACACAATTTAATATACCTATTCGTGTGTCTTGAACATGGTATTTTACATCAATCATCTTGTGTTGACACCCCATCTGAGAATGGGGTTGCTGAAAGAAAAAACAGGCACTTACTAGAAACTGCTCGGGCTCTCCTGTTCCAAATGCGGGTTCCCAAACACTTTTGGGCTGATGCAGTTTCCACTGCATGTTTTTTTTATCAACCGTATGCCATCTTCGGTCTTTCATGGTACAACACCCTATCAGTGTCTTTTCCCTCAAAAATTTGTGTTTCCTATTCCACCAAAAACATTTGGATGTACTTGCTTTGTGAGAGATGTTAGGCCCCATATCACGAAGTTAGATCCAAAATCTCTAAAGTGCATCTTTTTGGGATATTCTCTTATCCAGTAGGGGAATAGGTGTTATTGTCCATCAACGGGAGGTATCTATTGATGTAACCTTTTATGAAGATGTTCCCTTCTCACCTCCTTCAAATTATGAAAGCCATGGAGACGATGTTGATGTTCTCATCTATACGGTTACCACCGTTCCACTTCTATTCCAACTTTCTGACCACCAATCACTCAAGTATATTCTCGTAAACAACAGTCTGTTCCAAAAATAGTTAACCTCAACCCAGACACTTCTTTGGCTCCTGAAAATATGCATGATTCATGTCCTGAGCCGATTTCTTCGTCGTATGATCAAGATAACTTGCCAATAGCCCTCCGCAAAGGTAAAAGATCATGTATTTATCCTGTTTCATCGTTTGTTTCTTATACTCACTTACCCCCTATTTCCTGCTCTTTTATTGCTTTTCTTGACTATACAAACTCCTAAAACTGCCAAACAAGCCCTGTCCCATTCTGGTTGGCGTAACGCTATGATTGAGGAAATGAATGCCTTAGATTTCAATGGTACATGGGACATGGTGGATTTACCTACAGGTAAGAAGGCCATTGGGTGCAAATGGGTGCTTGCGGTGAAGGTTAATCCTTATGAGTTGCAAAAGGGTATGCTCAAACTTATGGTATTCATTACACTGACACGTTCTCCCCGGTTGCAAAATTGACATATGTTAGATTGCTCATCTCTATGGCTGCTATGTATGATTGGCCCCTACACCAACTAGACGTTAAGAATGCCTTTCTACATGGTGATCTTCACGAAGAAGTCTACATGGAGCAACCACCTAGGTTTGTTGCTCAGGGGGAATACGGTAAAGTTTGTCGCCTTCGCAAATCTCTATATGGCCTAAGAGGCTAAGACAAAGCCCTCGTGCATGGTTTGGGAAATTCAGTCAAGCAATTGAAAGGTTTGGCAAGGTGAAAGGGAAGTCTGATCACTCTGTTTTTTATAAGCATTCTAAAACAGGTACTATCTTATTAGTTGTCTATGTGGATGACATTGTCATCACAGGTAGTGACACCATTGGTATTGCATCTCTTAAGACCTTTCTTCAAAGTCAATTTTAGACGAAAGATCTTGGTACATTAAAGTATTTTCTAGGTTTCGAGGTAATACGGAGTAAGAAAGGTATATTTCTCTCCCAAAGAAATAATGTACATGATCTATTGACAGAAATAGGGAAACTGGGAGCTAAGTCGTGCAATACTCCAATGATCCCAAATTCACAGTTGACATCAGAAGGGGAGCCATTTGATGATCCAGGAAGATATAGGAGATTGGTTGGTAAGCTAAATTATCTGACTGTAACCCATCCAGATATCGCTTACTCGGTTAGTATTGTAAGTCAGTATATGGCATCTCCAACTGTTGATCATTGAAGACCTGTTGAACAAATCTTGAACTACTTGAAAGGGGCTCCAAGGCGTGGAATAATATATCAAAACCATGAACATATGAAGATTTGCAAATGCAAACTATGCAGGATCTAAGGACAATCGGAAACTTGATCTCGTGGAAAAGCAAGAAGCAAATGTTGTCTTACGGTCGAGTGCAAAGTCAGAGTATAGAGCAATAGCACAAGCAACATGTGAAATCTTGTGGATATATCACATTCTGGATGAAATAGGACTCAAGGCACCTATCCCTGTGAAGCTATGGTGTGATAATCAGGCAACTCTCCATATTGCAGCCAATCCTGTCTTCCATGAACGAACCAAGCACATTGAAGTTGATTGTCATTTCATTCATGAAAAGATACAACGAGGCTTAATCTCTACAGGGTTTGTGAAGACAGGAGAACAATTAGGAGATCTTTTTACAAAAGCCATGAATGGGCTTCGGGTAGATTACTTATGTAACAAGTTGGGCATGATCAATATCTATGCTCCAACTTGAGGGGGAGTGTTAGACATTATATGGTAGGAGTATATTTATTAGCATGATATTAGAGAATTTTGTACATATTTTTAGGGATTTAGTTCTAATCCTTACCTTAGTTTGTATATTCTTGTATAAATAGGTGTATTCTTTTGATTGAAAGATATGAGAAATAGTATGGAGTTCTCCATTTAACAAGAACAAAGAAAAAAAAAAAAAAAAAAAAAAAATTCTAACTAGAAACACAAAAAATGAAACCGTAAGGCATCTCTTTTTTATTGTGACAGAAAATATTTCAGGCCTAATATTTGATACATTCACAGAGTTCTTGCTATATATCTCATCCACCATTACTTTCCCAGTGGATAACCATTGAATGGAGCTCATGATATTTCCTCCATTAGTCCATTATATATGCATCATAATAAATGCATTGGTTACAAGTGTGCAAACTAACACAGAATATCAATACAGACCAGACAGATTTTATGACAATGATGTTTGTAATGATAGAACAGTGTTGTACAAGAAGCAAACCTTTGCCCTAAGAATACGCCCAAGACGTTGTGCTTCCTGTCGTCTCGAACCAGCATGAGATGAAATTTGTATTATAACATTTGCTTCAGGAATATCTATAGAATTATCACCGACCTGTAAATGATAGAAGCCATTAAACGGTAGACGAATTAAGGGTGAAGAAAAGAGAACAAGTTTCTATGAGAAAATGGCGATAAAGAAGATCATCCAATTCTCAGCTTCCCACAATAAAAGGCATTCAATTTGACATTAAAAGTTTGCTACAGTAATGTCAGTAAATATAGCAGGCAAAATAGGTCGGATACAACTTTTCAAACATAAAATGCCCTGCTTCCTAAGAAAATAAGAACCAGACAGCATATTTCACCATAGAGCTGCATCATCACTTCAGAAAAAGCCCATTGAACAACAGCATGTCAAGTTGCCTTAAAATACTTTAAAAACACAAAATCCATATTTTATCAGTTCAGGGAGAAATGAAATATCTGCTTCTAGAACATACCTTAGAAAGGAATATGGTGTTCACATCCTTGCTAGTTTTAAATGCCTCAAGAATTTTTGTTCTTTCTATATGGCTGTTTGTAAGGGAAAAAAAATATTACTATAAAATAAACAGAATCATAAAGAGTTCATAGTACATTAGCTCAACTCGAATTATTTTAAATTATAGTACCCCCCTCTCCCCCCAAAAAAACCCAAAAATAAAAAAGTTTTTAAAAAAATTAGAGACTTAAAATGAAGAGTATCAATTGACCTTGTAGCACCATAGATCATAGGTTTCCGAAGCTTCATTGCATATTCGGTGAGAGCAAATAGATTGTCAGCAAAAACAATTATCTTATCCCCACGCTGTTGTTCATGGAACCGGATAAGAAACTCACAGGCCCTGAATTTGTTTGGATTCATCACATAAAGTGCCTGGAACATAAAATTCAACCAGGAGTAAAGGGAAGATCTCAGAAAAGTACAATAACAATGGTTAAGAAAGGGAGAAAAGAATTGTGCAAAGCTTGTAAACCAGATAGCTACACTGCTATACATTATACGGGAAAATGAGAAGTAAAGAAAATTTATCCTTTATTCAGAATGTTTATTACATTCAGGTCATTCGTATGAAGCCTGGAATGAGTGGAACTAACTTAAGATTGCTGAAATTGAAGTTATTTTTGTTCCATTATGTGTCATGGCTTTTCCATTTTTAGATTCATTGTCACTTCAACTTGGGATCCACTTAACACCCAACATTTGAAAAAAATTACAATAATGGAAATAAAATAGTAATGAGGATGAAAATAGGTTAAAAGGGAATACATTTAATTTAAATTTTGAATACTTAAATACTGTGCTCAATAATGAGATTAAAAAAATTTAAAAAAAAAAAAAAAAAAAAAAAAAAAAAAAAAAAAAAGAAGTAACTGCAATATCTAAAACAACAATATTCTCACTGAAAAATAACAAAAACAAACCTTGTCACATAATCTTCAAAACAATATCCATTTCCCCATTGGGGGTGAATAGCAAAGGAAAACTTGTGAACTTTGCTAATTAATAACAAACCCACATAACAAAATCATTAACCCATAAAATTTAGATATTTCAATTATGACTAGTTGAAATCAAGCGTGCAACTAAACTAACATAGTAGAAGGTGGAAGCAATAAGAGAATCAATAACAAAGAAATAGTATTTTCGATACTCAATAATTTAAAAAAAATGAATGTACAAATATTCTAATTTTAGGGAAACTAGGAATCCAATAATCTCAAGGATTGCCAATCACAAGGAAACTAATGCAATGAAGCAACTACTATTACTTGTACCATTCCTAAACTTGAATTTAGGAAAGCCAAAACTCAATTTAGGTGTACCTTAATTATTCCAACAATAATATAATGTTGTTTTTGTCATAACACTAATAAATTCTCATATTTCAGTTCAAAATTTAGTTTCCTCTCAAATTTAAAACTTTTTTCTGTTTTATTACGTGAAAAATTGAAAGAACATATTTTTTCTATTATTGACAGACCAGATTAGAACTTTTGAAACATCAAGGGGCCTAAATGTATTAGCGTTACTGTCAAAGATCCTTGGTAATCCAGCCAAAATTATCCCTTGCATAAAACAGTTTTATTAAAGAGATATGGTGAAGAAAAAATCAATGTTGTAAAAATCACTAGGCACTCATCGGGCGTTTGATGGGTGCCTAGCACCAAGGTTCACAACTAAAAAATATATATTTTGATATTTTTGCATATGGCATCCTGATTTTTTAGACTTCTAACAAATATTTTAATATTCATCCCATTAAATATAAATGTTCAATAGCACATAATAATACTCTAAAAACACACAACACTCTAATCATAACACATATAAACAAAACAAACAAAATTAATAAATAATAATAATAATAATAATAATAATAATAATAATAATAATAATAATAACGGCCACCTAGTTGACCAATTTACCCATTATTCCCTTCAGCCTAGGGGTGCCTAGTGCCAATTTTTACAACACTGGAAAAAAATTAATATTATGGGTGCTAAGTTGCTAACCTTTAGCATAATAATTTCTAAATAGGTACTTATTGAACTAAAATGAGATAATTGCCTAGATAAATATTATAGACTCAGAAACCAAAACCAAAGTCTGTAGCCTTCAGTTCCAGGGGTCCTATTAGTAAAAAGGGTACTGCACTTCAAAGACTCTTTGTACTGGCTATCTGTGTTTTGTTTGTGCTTAGATCTTATGGAGTACTAAAGATACTTTAGTCCTTTTTTAAGGCTTTTGCATAAAATATCAAAGATCTATATGAAGTGATTTATAAACCAAGTTTATTTCAATTTGGACAATAGTCAGTGCGTAAGTTTTCCTTAGGACTTCCATTGTCTCTTTATGAAGTTGGCAACCACAAATTACAGATTACACCACTACAGAATTCACAGAGCCTAGTTATCCAGTAACAATCTGAGTTCCAGCTTCACCAACCCTCAAGTAAAGACATTCCCATCACATTATTAAAACTAACAGCAAATTTGGATCGCAGGATAGGGACAGAATGGAATAGCATTCCCAAGAGGCCAAGAATAGGTATATTCCATTGTTTGTTAAAACTTTTTATTTCTGAGAATAGTTATTCCCCTTGCAAGCTTAAGGCAGTAAATTACTGTTATAGGATATTCTTGAGTTCTTAGGAATAGCCTTTTCTTTAAATCTTTATGATACCTAAATTATCCTTATTTAATTAAAACATAAATTATTCTATTTCTATTCCTTAAACCCACCAAACATTGTAATAGAATTCTTGAAATTTGTTCCTTCAATGAACCAAACAATGGAATAGGATGTATATTCTATTATTGATCTATTCCATTCTTTATGGAATAGGATTCCTATTCCCTAATTTCATTCCATGAACCAATGTTGCTGTAAGGACTTTGCAAATTAAAGAAAAGAATTTATCTATTGAAAAAAAAAAAAAAAAAAAAAAAAAAAAAAAAGTCACAAGGCGAAAACTTCAAATGTATTGACCATGGAGAAGTTGTGGAAGAGTACAAACCTGCTTCTTCTTAGAGTTCTCCTTCTTCAAATATTCAGCAAAAAATTCCTTTGTCATTGGACACCAAACCTCAGCACACTGCACATTCGCAATAAATCCTCCCTTCACTAAGTCCAACCAATTTGCCTCGTACAACTTGGGGCCAATAAGAAAGTTGAGATCTGTGATTCTTTCATCCTCTCTGACAAGTGTTGCTGTAGATCAAAATAAACTCATTCAATTTCCACCAAAACCAGTATAGATGATTTGATTATGCATGTAAGACTATATCGCCAATACCAGTGAGTCCAAGTTTGCAGTGAGATTTAGTAATGCTGATAACCTTTCGAAACATGTGTGCTGGAACCACGTGGACCTAAAAAAGATATCATAAAGAGAACGGAATATATTATGGCATGAAGTGTGCAATTGCAAACATATAGTCCAACTAACCGGAAAATCTCAAAAATATTTTGCATTTACCAGCAGGGCACAATATTTGGACACAGATCTCATAATTGTCACACTTCCATAGGGAAAATGTTAGGTGGTTATATGACTAGGATTTACCTCGTCCATAAGAAGCAAACCCCACTCTCTGTTTCTTATTTCTTCAATGATCTTCTCAGATTCTTCAGAACGTTTTCCACCAAAAGCAACCATGTTATATGTGGTCACCACAACACCAGCATTACCACGGAATCTTTCTTTGCTATCAGATGTGAAACGGCATATCTGTTCTTCTCGAATAGTTGACCATAACTTGAACTGGAAAGCCCATTGATCCACAGAGACAGCATTAGTTGCTAAACAAAGACAGCTTTTTTTAATTCTGGATGCTGCAGACACTCCGACTAAAGACTTCCCAGCACCACAAGGCAAAACAATGATACCTGATCTAGCTCTACCTGAAATGTGAAGCAAAAAATTCAACTGATCAAACTTAACTCTCATTATCTTTAGCGGAGACAATGAAATGGTGAGTTGCACAATGATCATCAGTCTCAAGTAGAAACACAGACAAATAGGAAATTTATTGGAAGATTTTTAAAAAATAAATAATAATAATAATAATAATAATAATAATAATAAGAAAACCCAACAACAACTTTTTTGCATCAAACAGCTGAACACGCTTTGTTCATTGTAGTCTCTATTCAAAAGAAGTAGCAGAAACATCTATTTACTACTGCTGCACCCATAAAATTTTCAGGAAAAAGTATTGCTTAATGTTTAATCCATTACAAAGTTTTACTCTTATAACTATGCTACAAACTCTCAACATGCTTTGTTCATTGTAGTCTCTAAAACAAGAAACTTCTATCTACTATCGCTACACTCAGAAACTTTTCAAGAAAGAGTATTGTTTAATGTTTAAGCCAGTTAACAAAGTAGTGTGCTGGTAGCTGTGCTGCAAGTCTCCTTAGCCGTTCCCTCCATTATATGGACTTGAAGTAGCATAGTTACAACTGAGAGAAGAATCGCTGGACATACTGCACAATCCACCTAATAATTGACAAGCACATACACCTAAAACGTTTCATTTTGGCACAACATTCTTACCATTTCCAAACATCTTACTGAGACTCTTTTCTTGATAAGGTCGTGGTTGTGCATGAGGTTTCAATTCCATATCAAGATCAGGATTGACCTGAAACAATAAGTGAGCATTGAGAATGATATATATATATATATTATGGTTTTTGCAGTTCCTACATAGGAGAATTGAGGAAAACTCACCGTATCATTTCTAAAGTCATATTCCTCTAACATGGGATAATTCAAGGCATTTGGCAAGCAACGTTGCTTCACATTTTCAACCTGTCATACAAAAGTTTAGCATGTTATCTCTCAAAATGAAAATACAATGGATACCTCTATAAGACATTGCCATTCTTCTAGATGGCAAATATACTTTCATAACACTAAGCTGCATCATACCTGATACATGTTGGGGTCATGATTATTTAGGAAATTATTATGATTACATAAGTCCTATTTTATTAAAATTACATTACATAGTTTAGATATTAAGAAACTACTAAATAGTTATTTAGCTTATTACTTAATTTAGTTATTTAGAAACTACTACTAAATAATTATTTAGTTTATTGATCTTAGTCTTCAAATTAGTTTAGCCAATTTAGTTATTTGGAAACTACCAAATAATTAATTATTCTTACTTTGGGAATCCTTGTAATCATCAGCCATATAAAAGTGAGTGTTATTTGGAAGAATGGAAAAGCAAAAATTTAATCCCAAAGAAGGGACTAAGGGAGTTTTGGATCTCAAGCAAACTTAGCGTTTTCTATTCCTTTTCGTTCTTTTCTTTCGTATTTTCTTACCTATGACGTGAGCACATAACATTGGTCTGTTACCAGTGTCATGGGCGTCACATGGTCCAAGTTTGAAGCTCTCAAAGAATCCATGAATAAGTAGAAACAGTTAGTGAAAGAGTTATGCAGGCATCGCCTTGGAGAATTCAGTGAAGACGCGGATGAACTAAGTTTATTGCTAAATTCCTCAACAACCAGGGCAAAACACCAAAAATTAATATGCTCATTCCCTCCGGAATTCAGCAAATAGAGGGTGATGTTACTTCACTCAACATGGATGATTCATCATTCACAATCATTGTTGATCACCCACATGTGGAGATAGCGCCGATGCAACTCTATTTTTCAGCCGATCAGCCTCATGTTGATGATAATCCAACACAGATTTAAAAAAAAAAAAATGAGGTTGTGTCCTTTCCAAAAACCATCCAATAAATGGGACTATGGGAGGGTTATTTTGCCACTTTACAGCCCCATCACAATTCATGATTGTGCATTATGGTATTGGTCAGTCTTTATCTCTTAGATCTCTCTTATTCTCCAGTGTTGTGGTTCCACCTAACTCACCCAAAAGATGTCCAAGGTTGAAGTCCTTTTCCTCATTGTTGTTGGCTCATCCACTGATCCTTAGAATGCCAATTGTGGCTTTACCATTTGCAATTCTTTTGGTGAGGCCATTTGATCATGAGAAGTGTTGGCAACGTGATGCACGAGGTTATTAGCTTCAAGCTTGTGAACAACATTGATGTCACGGGGGGATGTAATGATACATGTTGAGGCCATGATTATTTAGGAAGTTGTTATGATTAAATAAGTTTTATTTTACTAAAATTACATTACAACATAGTTTAGATATTAAAGAAACTACTAAATAGTTATTTAGCTTATTACTTAATTTAGTTATTTAGAAACTACTAATAATTATTTAGGTTATTAATCTTAGTCTTTGAATTAGTTTAGCCAATTTAGTCATTTGGAAACTACCAAATAATTAATTATTCTTACTTTAGGAATCCTTGTAATTAGCCCTATAAAAGGGAGTGTTAATTTTATTTTATTTTTTGGAATAAAGGGAGTGTTATTTGGAAGAATGGAAAAGCAAAAATTAATCCCAAAGAAGAGGCACTAAGAGAGTTTTAGGTCTTAAGCAAACCCGTGATGTGAACACATAACAATACCTATACAAAAAAAAAAAAAAAAAATGTGGAAAGAAGCACTACTATCATCTTGTACATATCTAAAGTGATGAATATAGATGAAGTAAAAAACTAAGGATGGCAATGGGTCAGGGTTGGTCGGGGTGGCTACATCTACCATCCAAGTATCCACCCATTCTTATACTTTCTACACCCACCCCCACTCATGACCCAAAGCGGGTGGGCTTTTTAAAAACCCGCCCCGCCCCCACCAGATGTGGGAATCCACTATAGGTACCCACCTTTTATTAACTTATTAAAAATTTTCAAATATAATAATAATATTTAATTATTTACACATAATAAAATAACAAAATTCACTAGTTATATTAAAACATAAAATAATAAAAATATTTAAATATAATAACTAAATTACTATTTTTTTCAAATGAACTTATTAGTTTAGAACTACCACTACATACTAGTACTTATTTTACTATTTTAATTTTTATATATATAATAACATGGTGTGTTGGATTCTATGTAGGTTTGGCGTATAAAATCCTCATCCAAGTATCCAACCCAACCCGTATTACGACCCACCACCCACTGTCACCTCAAAAAACCCGATCCATGCAGGGGTGAATTCGGGAGAATATCCGCGGGGCATATTTAAATTGCCATCCCTTAAAAAACACATATAATTCATAAAACTCTTCTAAAGCTCCTTATATGCAAAGGCATTGGTGTCTCCAATTGAGATGGTATAAATACAGTTTTTATCTAGCTTACTTCATATCAAAAAATTCTTTCTAGAAACATATTCCAATTGCTACTCTCTCTCTCTACATTTTATTCAAGGTTTGAGGAATCAAAGTGTATTGCTTTTTGTTTATTAAAAACAAAGCATCGCATCAAAATGATCAAATTACCTGAGAAGGATCAATTTCAAATGAATGAGTTTCTTTCTCTTCAGCTGCTGCTGCCAGCTCTGCTTCATTTAACAACTCATCATGTCTACCTTCTATTTCACCCGCAGACTTGCTGACAGTAAATCCATCACTTCCATGAACTCCCTATAAATCAAATTGTTGGAAGTTAGAGTATATAGAGAGATACTCAGAAAAACAAAAACAAAAAGAAGAAATTAATTTAAAAAGCCTGACTGTGAGATCATATAAAAGCAAATGATTTCAAATATATGTAGAGCTTTTCAGAACTTCAATTCCCAACTCTCTAATACCATTTTTAATAAAACAAAGCAAGTGGTATGGAAAGTCATATACATAAACAAGTAAAGAGTGAAAGATATTCCACAGCAGGCAATTCAATGACTCACCGCAGACATAAGTCTAGACCGACCTATAACTTCATCTCGAAGCAACGTTTTCAGTACCTGCAAACATCAAAATGATCCATCAAACAGTTGTGTAATGCAACACAACAAACCAGTGAATTGTTAAGAAAGCTATAAATCTTGCCTCAGGAAATGGAGATTCAATAAAATACCGGTTCTTCTTAAGCACGAGCTTCACTTTGCCATAGTTGGCAGTAGAAGCATGTATAAAATCAATCATCTCTTTCGGAAGCTTAGTTTTTGACAATTTGCTTAAAACAGATATTATAGTTTCAGTCTCCAAACCAACGGACACAGCCGCATACAAAGAGTGAGGTGTCAAATTGTACTCATGCATAGACTCCGGCCTATATTTCAAAACAAACCAATTAGAAGTCAGACCTCAACAAACACAATATAGGATCACAAATATTTAGGTGTGCAATACTGCAATCAATGAGTTATTGTCACCATAGAATTGTGATGAATGGTACCTGCAAACAGGTTCAGCAATGGCTATGAGAAAGTCATATGCCTGTTTGTATAATGCTGAGAATGTTTCGAGGAAAATCCTACCATCAGCACAAGCCCACAAAGGGCGATTACCGTGATCAAGTTTGAGTTCAAGTTTCGTGAAATCTCTTTTCTTCCCTTCACCCTCTCCTTAAATTCAAAAAGAAAAATCCATAATCAAATCTCATTATACACCATTTCTATAACACAAGCGCCATAACTAAATAAATGTACTGAAAATACCATCACGAGGATCATCATTGATTTCATCTGGATAATACGAATCATCTGTTTCAGCAGACCTAAATTCCTCCTTCGTTATGCAAACAAAAAAGAACACACAACTCAACTTTCTGCCAACACAATGATCCGATTAAAGAAATTCAACAGGTGAACAAAAATAGAGAAATTATAAAACCTTCGAGGAAAACTTGAACTTTTTGCTGGGTCGACCTTTATCACCTGCACCCAAAAACGATATTCATCAATCGTATATACACATCGGCATATTAATTATTACAAGCATATACTTCAAATCGTTTCCATTTATTAGATATTGATATTGATTGGATTGCGCTGTTAGTTTTAGTTCAATTTCTCAGCTCAATTTACCGTGATGACCCATCGTTTCAACTTTGAGATCGAGCAACAATGGCTGTTTCCGTGCTGAGTGTCTGATCACAACAGTTATCTGCGTGAGTTATCGTCAAATGCAATTGCACACTGCATAAACATAGCGATTCCCAAACACGCCCTCGCAACACTTTCAATGGAGCCAACCCAACAGACTTACAGTTAAGCTAAACTGGGCCTTAAATATGGGCCATAATGCCCAACCTAACAGAAAACCCTAGGTCCCAGCCTCAAATTTGAGAAAACCGAACTATTAATATGGAAATGGACCGGGCCGCTTATAGGTCCATCATATGCCCATCCAGCAAGGCTCATATTGCATTATTGCTACAATAATGTTATACAATCGTTATGCTGTGCATTCCATGCACGCATGATGCATACGGATGCAAAAACGACATCGTTTTGACGTCTAACTTTAATATAAAAAAAAAATTCAGAATTATATAACTGCACATCCATAATTTCATAACTATACATTCAGAATTACATAACTACACATCCATAATTTCATAACTATAAATCCAGAATTGCATAACCACACATCCATAACTTCATAATTATACATCCAGAATTGCATAAATATACATCCATAATTGCATAATTATACATCCATAACTTCATAACTATAAAATCCAGAATTGCATAACTACACCATGCATAATTACACATCCATAATTTCATAACTATAAATCAAGAATTGCATACCTACACATTCATAATTTCATAACTAAAAATTCAGAATCAATGAACTAAAAAATGAACAACATAATGTTGTTGTTGGGAATCGAAACTGATTTTTTTTTTTAAGTAGGACGCGCGTTTTGATGCAAAACCATGCATGGTGCATACGGATGCACAGCATAATTTGTCAATGTTGTATGGCTCAATTATAATTGTCAAAACGGGTTACCTCGACGGCAAATTATATCGTGCAGTGCGATGCATAATCGATTATGCACCGCGCATCAAAACGACATCGTTTTATTTAATGAAAAGAAACGGAATCCGTTTCGCACTGTTACGCAAAAAATAACTTTGTTCTTCAGTTTCATTTTGTATACACTGCAGTTCCAGTTCAACACAACTACAGTTTCATTCAATATTTATACACTCAAATATGTGAAAATGTTGTTTAATTTTATTTTATATACACTATAGTTTCATTAAAACACAGCTACATGATTATTTCGATATAATTACAGTTTCATTGTACAATATACACTCAAATATGTGAAATGTTATTCAGTTTCATTTTATATATACTGCAATTTCATTTCACCACAACTACAGTATCATTTTGATATAACTGCAGTTTCATTTGATAATATAAAAATAACACGTGAGGCAGTGTTGATTTAGATACACTGTAGTGTCACTCCGTTAACACTAACAGCGCGCTGTTTCTTTACTCAAAGAAACAGCGTCGTGTTGATGCACGGTGCATAATCGATTATGTACCGCGGTCCACGATATAACGACTGTACCTCTACCTATATGAGTTATCACATTAAAAAACTCAGTTCTTTTTATACAAGTTATACTATTGTAAACTCAACTTACATAAGAATAGGTAACTGGTAAATTATTGTATGGACCATGAATGCAATATATATTTTTAATATACTAAAATTATATTATTTGTATACTGAATGTACATTATTTGATAATATATAAAAAAAAAATCATATATTTTTATATAGTGTACTTTATGTATATAAATAATGATTTTTAGTATATTAAAAATGTACTTGTTATTTATATTTCACAAAAATGTGTGAACGATGGCCATGAATAAAGATCGATAAATAAGTTAAACATGCCAACTTGGTAATGTGTTTTTCAGAATTTGAAATTTAAAATTATTATTTGAAAATTACTAAAATAATGTTATACATTAATATTGATATCAATTATTAGTTTGATATATTAAAAATCATTTATTACGGTTTCGGAAACCACACAGAGTTTCACAAGTTCATTACACATAGAGATGTCAATACGGGTCAGCCCGTCCTATATGGGCTGGCCCGTCATGGGTTGGAAAAAAACGGGACTGGACGACCCGTTTTTTATACGGGTTGAAATTTTCTCAACCCAACCCGTTAGATACGGGTTGACGGGCTAAACGGGCCAGCCTGTCAACTCGTACTACTTAAAAAAAAATACATTTATTTTATTGTTAATTTGTTATAAGTTACAATAAATAAATTATTTAGAATGACATACTTCCTAATTCCAACACAACATTCATGAATTCACATTCAAATCTTACAAGTTTTCAACACAATTTTAATAAAACATTCAAAGTGTTCAAGACACACATAACCAAAAGTTCAAAATAGTCAAACATTCAAACATAATTTAAATTCAAACGTCCATAAATGAGAAATCCATTAAAGTCTACAACACAAGTACACAACAAAGATATTAAGAAGCCTTCCCAATAGGCAATAGCATCGTTTTTTTTTTTTTTTTTTTTTTTTTTTTGGATAAGTACACGGGCCGGGTAACCCGTGTAACCCACGGGTCGAACCCGTTTAATCCGTGTCCAGCACGGGTTAAATGGGACGGGTCTAATACGGGACGGGTTGAAATTTCTCCCACCCAATCTATCCAAAATCACGAGTAAACGGGCCCAATCCGACCCCGTTTTGACAGCTCTAATTACACACAATGACACAAACACAAAAATACACCATACTTGAAAATAATTTGTTCAAACTAACAGTCCACTTAACTAAGTTATTCACCATTCAACTTCAATGTCCACTTAAAAATCATGTTGATTTTGTTTTTTTTTTTACGAAAAATTATAATTGTTACGAATATTTGATATATTAATTTGTCAAGGGAAAATGTTTTTTTTTTTTTAATTTTCCTAAAGTTTTTTCTCCCAAACTTTGGCAAATTATACCGTGGGTCATGGTCCAAAACGGTGTCATATTTCTTTTAATGAAAATAAATGACACTCGTTCTGCGTAAAGTAGCTCTGCTGGTATAATATATTCAGTTTCATTTTATATACACTGCAATTTCATTTCAACACACCTACAGTTTTATTTCGATATAACTATAGTTTCATTCGACATATACACTCAAATATGTGAAACTGTTATTCAGTTTCATTTTATATACACTGTAGTTTCATTACAATACAACTACAATGTCATTTTGATGAGGCGCCCATGGCCTAATGGATAAGGCGCTTGACTTCTAATCAAGCGATTGTGGGTTCGAGTCCCACTAGGCGTGATTATGTATAATAATTTAGAGCCAATAATAATAACAACATCGAAGACATTTGGTTTGGACTTCATCCCAATTAGAACTTAATATTGCAATTATTCTTCCAAAAAGTTGAACCCCAACCCGACAGAGCATTTCGGAGGCTAGACCCCCTCGCTGGCAATACTCGATCCCTCTATGACCAGTTCAGTTGCCCATGCGGGTTAATATTTTAATTATGCTTTTATCCATGCATGAAAACTTCTAAAAAAATTTGTAAGTTAATTTTTACTATATTATTATAACAATATCTATTGTAACCTTATATTTTGAATTATTTATTATCATCCTCTATTGCCAGCAATTGTCATTGACAAACTCTCAAAACAATTTGTCTCAACAACGAATGAAAATTAAAAAAACCAATGATTTCATTATGTGAATGAAAAGTATGTATGTCACTTTATCATTGCTCTTATTAAATTAAAAAATAAATTAGTAGCTACAACAAAAAATAATACATATGCATTTAATTAATTTAGAATTAGATGTATATAATGCCTCTATTTAAAAAAATTTATTCATTATAAAAATTGAGAAAATGATCAAATAGTTCCCTAAACTTTACTCCAAAAGTCAATTAGGCCCCTAAACTTTAAAAAAGTGCAATTAAACCTTCAAACAGGTCAAATTGGGTCAATGAAGCCCAAAAACCGGTAAATGACCTGTTATTACAGGCCATTTCAATTCTGGCGACCAACAACGAATTCCGACGTAGAATGCTAGAAAGTTGAAAATAATGTTGCAAAAATGGTTTCAATATAAGAAAGTGAATAAAATGTGAATTTCCTACTTTATCCCTAAAATTTTAAATATTTTTTAATTTTTCCGTCAGTTTTAACGGTCAGGGACCAAATGTGCCACTTCGCTCATAACTGATGGACTAAAAATGGATACGGTCATAACTCAGAGACTGAGTCGTCACTACCATTATAACTCAGGGGCCAAACTCGGCATTTAATATTAATATTAAACTACTAAAATTTTAAAATATAAATATAATAAGGCAAATTATGTTGTGGACCCAGACCCATCTTGCAAGATGGGCCCACGCGTGTCTGGCATAACGACGCCATCAGTCAATGATTTTTTTTTTTTTTTTTTTGTAAATATAGAGTTCAAAAATTGTGAATATAGATTCAAAAATTGTGTTATACTGTTAAATATAGAGTTCTTTACTTGTGAATAACTTAATATAGAGTCATGAAATTGTGAATATAGAGTTCAAAAATTGTGAATATAGATTCAAAAATTGTGTTATACTGTTAAATATAGAGTTCTTTACTTGTGAATAACTTAATATAGAGTCATGAAATTGTGAATATAGAGTTCAAAAATTGTGAATATAGATTCAAAAATTGTGTTATACTGTTAAATATAGAGTTCTTTACTTGTGAATAACTTAATATAGAGTCATGAAATTGTGAATATAGAGTTCAAAAATTGTGAATATATATTCAAAAATTGTGTTATACTGTTAAATATAGAGTTCTTTACTTGTGAATAACTTAATATAGAGTCATGAAATTGTGAATATAGAGTTCAAAAATTGTGAATATAGATTCAAAAATTGTGTTATACGGTTAAATATAGAGTTCTTTACTTGTGAATAACTTAATATAGAGTCATGAAATTGTGAATATAGAGTTCTGCAATTGTGAATATTGAGTTCTGTAATTTTGTATATTGCGATCTAAAATTGTGAATATAGAGTTTAAAAATTATGAATATAGAGAAACAAATTCTGAAGACAAATGACAAGGAAGGAATCATTTTTTTTTAAATTTAGACGGTGTCATTTTTAAGCAAAACAATGTAATTTTG